AAAAAAAAAAAAAAAAAAAAAAAAAAAAGAACAAATCTTCAGGGTCCTACTGTTAGAGTCAAGCTACAACTTTTCTCTGGAGATGATAGAATTAAGCAACAGAGTGTACACTGACCATCTCTGGATACTTTGGGGAAAAAAAGAAAGAAAGAAAGAAAGGAAAGAAAAGAAAAGGGCAGAAACAAGAAGGATTCTGAAGACCAGCAAACTCTGAGAGGCCAATGTCTGAACTATGGGCAGCTGCACTTGCGTGGGTAGATGTAACACTTCACAGTTTGGTTCCTTCACCAGCCAGACCTTGCCAAAGATTAAAGCAGAAGTCCTGGTAAAGCAAAGTGTTGGTTATTGTTGACTATCTCACACACATACTTGGGAAAATATCCCAATGTACGACAATCATTCATGAACAACTGAAACATCTCACCTCTGGTAAAACCGTAAGAACTACAAATAGAGGACTTTGAGATACGAGGGCACATGCTGCATACAGGCATCCTTATAAACAGTTGATTATAAAGAAAGTAGATGAAGAACCCTGACAGAATGTCAAAAATAGTCCACAAATTGGAAGACAAGCGCTGAGGCTCCAGATGGCTCTGAAGCAGCAGACTCTGAACTCCTGTCACTACAGAGTCACAGCATTTGGCAGCAGTAGAGGCCAGAACCTAGCACCACAGCCAACACAGTCACAGCACGGCCAAGGGCCCGGGGATGTGGCCTGGGGAAGCCCAGGAAGGCGCCCTCTCAGCAACACCAGGCCAAAGTGAAGGCTGGACAGAACAAAGCTCCCACGAACACCAGCAGGACCTCACCCTACTCTTACTGGGGTTCCTGAGCACAAGATCGTGAAACTGATGCTGCTCTCAGCCCCAGCAAAGGCGCCTTTGGCGTGTACTTCCTCAGTGCAGCAGCTGGGCCCTGTGCTAAGAGAAATGCAACAGCCAGACCTACCCGCTGGCTTCCCACGTTCTCAGCATTGCTAGGGTCTAGCCAACTGACCAAAGACGGGGAAGCACACAGGAGCTCTGCCACACCAGGGGAGAAATCCAGTGGCCTGGCACAGAGTGAGCACTCTACACATGCCCAGCCCTTCCCTGTGTTCCTCCTGGGTGTCCTGTCTCACGCAGTGTCGCTGCCGTCCTTCCACTCACACCCATGCAGGACACTGGGGCCTCACCTCTGACCCACCCACTCCTGACACATGACTGTTACCAAGTCTGCCACAATGGACTTCACATCCATCTCTCGCTTCTCCAGGCCACACCTCTAGTTCATGCTCTTACACTGCACACCAGTGCGGCCATGCCTCTCTCCCAAAGGTGGCTCCCTGTAGCCAGTCCCTGGGCATTGCCAATCTACACAAATTCACCTTCTTTTAAAAGCGAGTATTTTAATCAGAATACCAGAGCACAAATTGCTTTTGTAGCTAAAAAAAAAGTCTCATTAGAGCTATGTCCATTAAGAAAATAATAAAAATAACAAAAAATAAGGTCAGATAACCTCACTCTTACCCTCCAAATACTTCATGGGCTTCTGCTGCCAGAGTCAAGCACACACACCTTCTACGATGCTACTGTGGCTCTCTGGTGGCCACAGTCCCTCCTACCTGCCCACACCTACCTTGCCCACCTGTGCCTCCACTCCAAGGTCACACTGACAGGGTGTTCCTCTCCACCATTCAAAGTCCTCACAGCCACCTCCCAGGCCTCAAGCCACTCCCCTCTAGGCCTGCACAACAGTGACAGGGTTTGCCTCACCCTGTCTTACTCAGGAATCTTCAACTGTAAACCCCCAAAAGCCTTCTGTACCTCTATTCCCCACATAGCTTAGAATCATTCTTCAAACCAGGGCATATACTGAAAACATGCTTGTTAAACAGCAGAACAAATGTGTTTTACAGGTAAGCGAGTGTGATCAAGTACAAAACGATATGGCTCAAAAAATGGGCTGGTATTCTGTGAAAGCAATGTAAATAAATTCACTTTAAAAATCAAAGTTTAAAGAGTTGGTTACATTTGAATGAACACTGACTAGATACAGATGAATTTGTCTTTTGTGTTTTTATTTTAGAGACAGGGTTTCACTCTGTCCCCCAGGCTGGAGTACAGTGATGTGAATCATAGCTCATTGCAGCCTCCAACTCCTGGGTTCAAGTGATCCTCCTGCTTCAGCCTCCTGCTGGGATTACAGGTGTGCACCACCATGCCTGGCTAAATGATTGATTGATTGATTGATTGATAGATAGGCAGACAGACAGGTAGATTAGACTGGATGGATGGATGGACAGATAAAGATGGGTCTTGATAGACAGGTAGATAGATATAGATAGACAGACAGACAGGTAGACAGATAGATAGATAGATAGATAGATAGATAGATAGATAGATAGATAGATAGATAGATAGATAGAGGGTCTTGCTGTATCATATAGGCTGGTCTCAAACTCTTGGGCTCAAGCAATCCTCCTACCTTGGCCTCCCAAAGTGCTGAGTGCTATCAAAGCCAACATGGTAGCAAACCACCACTGGTCATTTCTCTACTATCTTCAGTTCACGATGGTGACTTCAGCATACCCACTGCATTCCCTGCCACATCAATTCCCCAAAATGGAAGAAATGTATATAGGAATAATCTATATATAAACTATATTTTATGTTGTTAAACATTAAAATACATAATAAAAAAGCTTTTTTTAAAGGTGCTAAACCCAGCTTTACTTAGTAGATTTTCGCATCCCAAATCCTTAACTCCAGCTTCCTCCAAGACTTTCCAGGAGATAATACACTCTCCTCTCCTTCAGCAGGCACCAGCCTCCAGGTCGCAGGAAGAGCACCTTACCTTGGCATCAGCAATGTCCACAAAGTTGTCCTTGCCAATGAGCTTGAGATGGTGGATGTTGACAGGAGGACCCAGAGCTTCCTGTGCCTCGGGATGGTTCTGCAGCTGCTCCAACGCCAACTTGTAATATAAACCCCTGGAATAAGTCTCTAAGGATGAAATATACACTTTATTTTCCTTATTGAACTTGGTCAGGTAGAATCTACTAGACAGAAAATTAAATAATACAATTGATATAGGGGGTGGAACCAGAAACATGAAATTTGTGGATGAACAAATAATTAGAACCATCTTCTCTAAACTGTCCATTTTACAGACTCAAAAACCAAAGGACAGGCAGGCAGTGTCTGCAGGGATGTGCAGATGATCTTGGGCCTTGACCTCATACAGACCCTTTCTATGCCTCAATATCTTCATCTTTCTTCCCTCATTCATTGCCTTATTTCTACATCTAAGGGGTTTGATCAGCTCTTCTCTAAGTTTCCTCTCAAGTCGAAAGTCCTTTGATTCCATGACTTGCTCAAAGTGATGCAGCTGGTTCACAGCAAAGCTGAGGCCAGAATCCATAACACCTGACTTCTAAACATTGCCCCTTCCACTAAGTTGAGACATAAAATAGAAAGACTACGCCATTAACAACAACAAAACCCTCAGGCCAAGAAACAGGATATGAGAATGTTCATTCATCGAGATTTAAGCCAACATTTCAAGTCAAACTCCTCTCAGTCTCAGGAATCCTTCTGAGCCCAAAGGCTACATGGGAACTCCAGGCAGCACATCCCTGAAGCTGTAAGTTCTAATAATCAGCTGCCCAAGTGAGAGAGCAGAGGCAGAACTTCTCAAGCAGGGTGTTCAGTTTTGCAAAAGAAAGTGCTTCCCTTCCATAGGTCCCATCACACTGATGAAGGGGAGGGTGACCTGACCCTGAGAGGCCAAGGGAATGCCCCTCCTGCACTGCTTCCCAGGAGTAAGGGGTACAGGGAATACCATAGTCATGAACAAGGTGCCAGCCATAATAGGAAAAGAAGGGGCAGAAGCTGGGTTCAGACAGCTATTCTTTGTTGAGTGATTTCTATGGCTAGGCACTGTTCTCAATGTTTCACACATCTCACAATGCTCAATAGCTCTCATCTTGTGAGATTCAATTCTTACTTCATGCACAGGCACTAACATTACCACGCATCACATCAATAACGTAACTAACACCCAGAAAGGTGACAGACTCACATAAGGCTACATAGCTGGTCAAGAGCTGGAGCCAAGATTCAACCATTTAACCCAGGCAGTCGGCTGCAGTGTCCAGGTCTCACCCACTTAGCAGCCTCCTAAGGGAAAAAGGCTGAAACCTGACCCAAAAACGCACCCATTCCTCTCATGTCTTGCCCCTGTCCCTTTGGCAGAGGAAGAGGAGGCCAAATTATTTAGTCCGAATCATCCCTGGGAATGCTCATCTGAGGCCCCCTCCAGAGTCAGCAAATCCGCCAACTCTGCAGGAAGGTGCAGAATGGCTGGAGAGGACACTGCAGCCTGTTTGCTTGTCTCCTGGTGACACTCGCATCCTGGGAAAAAGTGAAAATGTTGCCCAGTGGATAAGGAGCTAAGCTGGGTAGAGATAAAGGAGCCTCAAAAAAGTCAGTCTAGAAAAAACTGCTGCTGCTTTGCCACCAGTAGCATTAAAATGACCTTAAATGTCCTGGCTGCTGACAGTAATTGTGGCCTATCTTTACAAATTCAAATTTGACTGCAGTGGGGCTGGAAGCTACATCTGTCAGGATTTTGCCAGTGTGGGCTCTGCTTTTATTTCCTGCCCCTGCCAGAGTTCCCTTGCTCACGGTCCCTCCTTCATTAAATCAACAACAGAGAATGAAGTGCAAAAAAAGGCTGACAACACCGGACACACAGCCACAGCTTTCCCCACCTGTGAACCATCTGGTATTCCCCTTCCCTCTGTCCTTTCTTTATATAATCTCAGAATCTTGACTGGAGCCCCTGTGTGTGCACTGAGCTGAAAGCCCATCGTGCTCTACTAGGCTTCTTATGCAAATGAGCCCTGGTCCTTTTATTTGTACTGGTTGCTCCCAGGAAAAACTGAGATTGCAGGATACAGAGGAAGTTATAGCCAACGAAATGGCGGACTAGCCTGTAAAATCACCCTCTCACCCTTTCTCTAATCTACTGCAAGCATCTCAAGTATTTCCTCTGATGGAGGAGTAGGAGCACGAATGCTGGAGGAGGTCAGGCTGCAGGCGCCTAGCAGGATACTTACTTTGTATGATGAAATACGAAAGGGAAATGCTCCCGGTAAACAGCACACTGCCGTAAATGATCATTTTTGCCGGAGACATTGACATCCTGCTTCACGGATGCTTAAAAACAAAAGATACAAATTTACTGTAGGATTCCCAGTTTTGTGCCAAGGGGGTTTGCCTGGCTTGGGCCCCTCAAGGAAAGGAACATTAAGGAAACCAGCAAGGAGGCCAGGCTGCCTTCCTTCATTTGCTTCCTTTCCAAATGCCAGGATTGGTTCTGGAGCCAAAACGAGTGCCCTCCTGGGGGAGCCCTCTCGAGAATGGCCCATGTCCAGGACCCATGCTGTGGGGGCCCTGCCACCCCCAGCCGGCCCCAGCACAGAGCGAGCATTCAGCCCACCATCCTGACAGACAGAGCCCAGACTGTGTGCCAAGCCCCGCGTGGCCAGGAAGCACAACCACTTTGTCTCAGGCCAACTGGTAAACAGGAAGCTTATCTTTTGTGGCAATAGCTGGTCCTGTAAGCCTGCAAATAGGTTGGAACTGTCACTTGTCACTGGCTCCTTTCTTTCATATTTTAAAAAATGCCCCACCCTCAGGATGAGGAAACTTTGGTTATGACTTTCAGGCTCAATGAACACACAGAGGGGTGCCAGCTCAGCAAATATAGCATACCACATCCACCCTGGCGTTAGCTCCTGTCCCCTGAAGGCCCGGGTGGGACTGGGAGCAGCACGTGGGAGCCAACTCTTCCTTCCTGGTGTCCATTTAACCACTGCTCACAGTGGCCTGGGCCTTTCTGAAAAGTTGTAAAATACCTGACCATAAAACAGTAGGACATGAGCTATAGGAGTAGGGCAGGAAAGAACAGAAGAGGGGTCACAATTCAAATGCCCACAGGGCCAAACATGTCACATAAAAGACAGCAGACACTGAAAGACAAGAACCTAAGGCCCAGCCAAGGAGACAGCTTCAACCTGGCTCCAGCTGACTGCAGCTATGCGGCCCCAGACTCACTGGATCTTTCCATTTATCAAGAGGGGCCAGAAATCTGATTTTTTATGTGAAATTGCCTGGATTCTAAATGTTGACAATCAATTTTTAAAAACTGCTAACAAAATACATTTGTGAATCAAATTGTTTCTGTGGGTTTTCAGTTTGCTTTGACCATCAGGGCATCCCCACCCTAAGTGAGATGTAGGTAAATTCCTCTCTGTCTTTGCTGACATTTCTCCAAAAAGAATAGAGATTTTAGGCAGACATGGAAATTCCAGTCTTAGATAAAGGAAAAAACGTCATGTTTGTGTCCCTACTTAAAAATTTAACCTTCGATTTTAATTATGTTCCTTTCACAAAACAAAGCCTCTGATGTGTCCTAATGGGGTCAGAGGTATAATGCAGTGCAGAAAAGTTAGGTATAATGTGAGTTCCTTTGCTGGCTGGAACACATTCTCACCACCTGCTTCTCCACCTTCCAGAACACAGAGTATTAACAATTGTCCACCCATCCTTTCTGAAGCCCTGAATGTAAATGAACCCATAGAAACCCTGTTGGAGAAAGTTCCTCAGGTAGATATTCTGAGAACCAATAACTAAACATACCCTTGAATCGGGCTACAGCTGACCAGTTCTATACTAAAATATTTAATCCAGGTTTATGTATATAAAGGGCTTTGATAAACTTAACAAATGAAGGAGGGTGACATTTTAGATCATCTTTCTATTGTTTATTTATATGTTGTTTTGTTCAACTAAGAAAAGGCTGTTGAAACCACAAACAAATGTACAGCAACTGCTATGAAGACTCTAGCTAGTACCCTATAATAAGTAAGTATCAAAATGAGTGTAAAGTCAATTACAGTAATGTGATCTGGAAAAGCCATTTAGTTCTCATAATGAAAACGGTCCGAGCATCTCTGAAGAATGTATTAGTCAGATCTTGCTTAATTTGAAAAGAGCTCAACAGGGTAAGGCAGCCAGACTGGGTTATGCAGAGGTTCCCAGAGTGTTACAGTTTCTAAGGCCAGCATGAGACATGAGAAAGAGCCGGAAACAACGTAGAAAATGTCCATCCCATCCCTCCTGTAAGTTAAAGCCACAAGTGAACCTTAAAGACCAGAAGAAACCGTTAACTACTCAGGGAGTGACTTTCTTCTATTGTCTAACAAGAGAATACCCTGGCAGGTTCTAATGAGGAGCTTGGCCATGGAACATTCCATTACCTTTGGCCACATCACAGCGCAGCTCTCTTGAAAATCATCAAAGGCCAGTTGTCTTGCAATCAGAAAAGATTTTACATTAAAATCATTTAAAAAATGTTTAAGCCCCAGTTCTCTCTAGTTGCATACAGCCAAGATTTATTACCAATTCCAGCTTTAGAATATGAACAAGTTAAATTTAAACTCTAAAACAAGATTTGTCTGTGAAAGGCCCTGGTTTTCCACCCCCTCTTCTGCCAAATTGGGAAGAAAAAGCAGGGCCTGCGGGTTTCCCATCTGTGTCCTATGTACTTTTTGTTACAGCAACCAAAGAACCGGTGTGCACAAGGGAGAACCGCAGGCAGCAGGTGCTTTGACCACAACACAAACATGATGCCAGTCAGCAGGAGGGTGGACCCGCAGAAGCAAGATGCCAGCAATAAAAGCTGAACAGAATAGAGTGAAAACAGCACTTCAGAGTTAAAAAAAAAAATACTACAGTAAATGTATACATGGACTTTAACAATATTGATAATACCTAACACTTCTGATATTTATTATGAGTCTTGTACTATTCTAAGACACTTTACATAAAATAATTCATTTAATTCTTACAACCCTTTGAAGTAGGAACTATATTATCACTCCCATCTTACAGATGAGTAAATTGAGGCACAGTGGTAGAACTGGGATTCAAACTCTGGCTCCAGCATCTGCTCTTTCAACCACTGTGGTACACTAGCTTTAAGATATCTAATTAAAGCAATATTGAAGCTAAATGAAAAACGATTTTAAGAAAAGAAATAAGGCTGAAAGAAAGTTAGAACACAATAGGACACAGTCATTCATTGGGTATTTCCTCAAGGTGCCACATATCGGCCGCGGCTTCCTATCTGCTCAGCAGACAGGAAAGCCTGAGGAGCTACAAGGTCCAGAGTGTCCATGAACAAAGGCAAACTGAGGAGGAAGACAACAACTGCTGAGAATACACGAAGCCTCAGAAAGCCCTAGGCAAGGCTCAGAAACATTCTCTCAAGTGGCTGGTGTCATAAATATCCTGAGAATTAAAAATAAGATAACAAAAATAAAAAGTTCCCAACTGCCAAATGACTATTTTTAAAAACATCCAACTATGAAAGCTACATTCGTACCCCCACCCCAACCCCCCAAAAAAACCCCAGAAGAATTATTTTTATAAGTGGCCAAAAGAGTGAGGTCTCAGAATGAAATTCTCTGACAACTACCTTGACTCAATGGAGTGCTCAGGCAATGAGGATCAACCAAGTGTCCTCGGAGCCCTTCCACATCAAAGCAGGGATGGGGGTGCGAGTTGGGGGGCAGGAGATGTGTTCAGGGGTGAGTTGGGGACAACAGGGGCTCCTTTTCATCCCGATTCAGTTTACCTGCCCCTTCAGTTGTCTATTGAAGAATGTTAAGTAGCCCCCAACCTCACAAAAAAACAAAAATTCAAAAAGGCACTGTAGAGGAATAGAGATGGATTTTAGGCTAACTGCAAGAATGTTACCTCCTAGAACTAGTCTTCCGGTAAGAAGTGAAAATTTTAAAAGTGATGTGCCATTCTCTGCAATAAACTCAAGTTCAATCAGTCCACTATATAGCCAAGTAAGGGCAGATTTATTTGCTTTACAGTTTGCCAAAAGGCAAGGGTTGCATCCCTATTGAAAATCAAGGAACTTAAAAACAAAAACGAAAAAAAAGAAAGAAAATCAAGGAACTTGTTAGCCACAGGAAGGTAGCACAAAACACTGGCCAAGGTCTCTCAGAAAAGCAGTCTTAGCTTTCCTTGGATACACACAAAGGGGTGACTTTGGCCTCTAAAGGCAAATAGTTTATAAACCTTTTCCAAAGTACTAAACCCTTTCTAGAGCCAGAGGACAGTCTGCTAAACAGATGCAACAGCTGCTTGAGCTGGCACAGGCTAGAGGATCCTCCTGTCAGCCTCCCCTCAGCCCTAACCAGAGGAAGCATCACCAAGGGGATCAACAGGAACAGCCAACCAACAGGAGGAGGCAGAATTGATGCTGGAACAGTTCCATGCCTTCACTTTAAGGAGGCCTGGCAGTTTGTACTTTGGCACTCTTGGAAGCCCTAAGCCACTACATAAGAAGTATGGTTATCCTGCTGGTGGAGTTCTTGCTACATAAGAAGACCATGTAAGAGGCCACTTTGTGAAGAAGAGGCCAAAGATGGGTGGGAATGAGATGCCCCACTGATCCAATATTCCAGTTGAACCCAGTCACCCCTACCAAGGCATTAGCCATGTGAATGAGCTGTCATGGACATTCTAGTTTAAGTGGGCTACCAGATGACTGCAGTACCAGCTGAACATTCGTGGGGCAAAAGAACCATCAGCTGATCCAAGTCAACCTACAGAATCATGAAAGATAGTAAAATTATTTTAGTTGTAAGCTACTAAATTTGGTTTGTTATGCAGCAACTGAAAATTAAAAGGCCTTTTACAATATCTTCTCAAAGGATTTTTAAAAACCTCTCTCAAATGTATGTTACTTTTAAGAGCAGCAATTTAAAAAGCAAAGAGACTAAAAAATAGAAGACCTGGAATATTCAAACCAACACAAGCAGAATGGAAATATTCGAAGAGCTGGATTTAAGGCAAAAAGTATTTAATTGAGACAAAGATAAACAATATAGTAGTTATGAACATAACATAGTAAACATTATGCCAAAATAGATAAAGCCAAAAACTATCACAAATTTTAAAAAAAAGGCAAAGAAAAGAACTACAGAGGGAGAACACAGATCACTTTCCAACTTTAGCAAATCCAGCTAACAAAAAAGCAATCAAGGCTGGGCGTGGTGGCTCACCCCTGTAATCCCACCACTTTGGGAGGCTGAGCCTGGAGGACTGTTTGAGCCCAGGAGTTCAAGACCAGCCTGGGCAACACAGCAAGACCCTATCTCAAAAAAATAAAATATAAAATAAAAATAAAGCCATCAAGAACAGAGAATCTGAGTAATGTAGTTTTTTACCTTACAAGGTACAACATGTGTGTATGTGTATCCGTGGAGATATATGTGTAAATACTGAGACCTTCCAGTGCCTAGCAGGTAGCACCCATCCCATAAAGCTTTGTGGGACTGACAAACCATCCTGTTTTCAATGCCCAGTCCCGTGGCTACTTCCTGGAAAGTAAATCTGAACAACTCTTGAGAGGGCAAAGCAAGTACATAGATCAGTAATTATATACAATCAACTTCATCTGAACCACAGCAAAAATTTTTCTCATGCTACTGCAAGTGGCTAACCTTTATCCCTAATTTTTAAAATTACGGTAAAAATTTGAAGGT